TTAATTATCAAGTGAAACTTGGAAAAATACAAAAAAATAATACAAACAACAATATCACCATCAACATCATCGTAATTAAAATTGAAAATCTATAAAGATACAGGCAATAGAAAGAAAAAAAAGAGCAAAGACGAAATGCTGTTCCTGAAAGTGTAAAAACTGAAGCCATCCTTCAAATTTCTTTCTAATAAAATCCTTTTTCAAAACTGAAACAAAAACATTTTCTCCTCTGTTATCCTCAGTTTTAAGTATGACTTTTCTCCGATGCTAATAAGCAAAGTTTTTCAGAGCTGGATAAAAGAGCCTCCCTCACCAACCCCAAGGAAAGAAAGAGCAGATAGAGACACAAAAATACAGCAAATGAAAATAGACTGCCCAACGAAAAAAAAAAAAAAAGAAGAAAAAGAAAAGAAAAGAACAGAGCAACGGTAAAACAAAGCAAAAAAGTTGAAGAAGAGGAACAAAATTTATACCTATAAGTATTAATTCATCACCTAGAAAAAAAAAGCAATTTTATAAGTATACCCGGCAAATGTGAAAGCAATAGTTTTAAACTTTGTAAATTAAAGTATGCTTTGATAATGACATTTTTAGTGCTAAATTCTAAAAAAAAGTGCTTTCAGCCTTATTGGAACTGTTAACCACATATGAAATTGCTCCCTCTCCATCATTTTCACGAGTTTTTATTTCTTCTTCACACATTTATACCCGAAAATAAAATTAATAATTTTTACCGGTCTAGCTTCACACGTGAACAATTGAACATAGATAAGAAAAAAAAAACACAACCGTTATCAACTGTAATAACATCTAAACTGACTAGTAAGTACACTTTTGATTACAGTCCCGTACGGTGATTAGTCGTCGTTAGTTCTTTTTGTTGGGATAAAGTAGACAGAAGACGTTAGCGGAAAATTGTGAAGTGCTTATTCGTAGTTGACAAAGAAAAGCAGGAATCTGTGAAAAGCACAATAAGAATTTTAGCGTCTGAAATCCATAACTGTCACTCATCGGCTTATTGTTTTTATTTTGAATATTAGCTGAGTTTGCCAGACCACTAAAGTATGTCCTTTACGCAGTTATTACTGTTATTTTGGTTGATCAATAATTGCCATACGATGATGTTGACTAATAACTGATAAATCCATCAATCTCGTAGAATTCATTATGCGTTGGTGGTTCCTGCTGCTGTTGCTGCCGCTGTTGCAAAAAACGATCCAGATGCTTTATTAAAACCTCAATTTCAGAGCTTCCTAGCGTATCTATGCCGCGTTCTAGCTGTCGTTTTACGTCAGCAACAATGTTTTTATTTCTCAACTAAAATAAAAACTGGAAAACAGAGTCCCAAAATGTTAAAAATAAAATCAAGCCGTTATAACGGCTGCAAAAACAGTTATAAATTACGCATTTAACAGTAACAACTACTTTTCTATCTTTCTTCTATAAATCCTAATACGAAAGAAACTAGCAATGTTAAAAACCTAAAGTTTCAAATAAACCCATACCACTATTTCACTGTTTCATGAATTTGCTTTAATTTAACAACTTTTTTTCTTCTTTATAAGAATCTCTCTCTTTTCCTCTCTTCCCTATGTCAATAGTACGTTTTTGGCCTTAGTAGCTTACTACTGGAAATAACGATATCCCTTATTAATATCTGAACTTCTGCTTGAAAACAAAATTTTACATAAAAACCTTCTGTTATTAAACCCTCTGTATCTCCTTCTGAACTACTATTACCCTTAGCTCCACCTATCGTTTCTGACCAGAAATGCCCATTTTTTTTTGACTGATAACCGAACAAGTGTTAGTTGCTTGCCAACAAAATGTGAAAATGCAGAAACTAACATAACAGAAGCGTAAGATAGAATTATTAAAACGTAAGTGCATCGACTAAACGTACTGCAAAAAAAACTAATTTTATTGGATAAGAGAAAATCATACAGATCTCTTTGGACGATTTTTGTACACGTTATACTTCATATTGTACTTCCGTGGTGTGGCGTAATGTGCCGGCGCTTCTTTTGTCCCATACAGAATCAAAGTTATATTGTTTACAGAACCTTGATTACCATTTTGAATTCCGCTCTTCAAAACAGTTAATTGCTATAGGTTTCTCATACTCTGTTGTGCTCAGAAAAGAAAGGCAAGCAAAAAAACTTCTGTTGAGAAGCAGTAAAACTTACACGGTCGTTGACTTCAAGTTGCCATCTGCCCTTTCCTTCCTCGCCCCAACTATGTACCGACATGAAAGGCCAACTCCGAAATCCTGCCTTTGACTTATCTTCGCGCCTCACAGACAGCAGTTGTGTTTTAGTACCTTCAACTGTTCCCGGTCAAATTTTTCTACAAACCCATTTAGTCTAATAAATAATCAAGACAATGAAATAAAAAAAATAAATGAAACTGAGCCCTAAAGAATACATAAAGCATAGAACAAAAAGCTAGTTTAGTGTATCCGGTTTCAACTCATTTTTACAGCTTATAATGAGAAATTTTCATTTTTCAGATCTTTCAGAATGCAGTTTTTACCGTTCGGTGATGTCAAGTAAATGGCCAAATGTCCCCTCACTGGATAGGTTATGTCGAGGACGAGTTGAACATGTTCCAAATAATTGATTTCATTATCTTCGCCTTCGCAAGCGTCTGTTCGAAAAGCAACCGTAGTGCCATTAATGTCGCTAAGAGACCTAATAAATGGCAAGGAAAGGTTATTTTTATTAAAAATTTTATTATTTTATGAGACTTTGCGGTATAGTTATCAAAATAGTTATACCTTTTCGTAAAGGTTGGGAATACAGTAGTACATATCAGTTGTTTCGGAACGTTCTTCCAGTCCTTAGCTGCCTGTACAAATTCCATAGCATTCATTATCCCTTAAAAGTAAAACAAAGATAAGAAACGTTTGCCTGCGACTGGACAGTTAACCAAGCTTCATTTTTAAAGAACCATTAAACATTCCTGTAAATACAAGTAAGAAATATGAGGAGTTTGAAATCCTCTTTTTCGCACAGTGTGCCCGAGATCTTATTGGTTACTGTTCTCAGCGTCTAACATGACAATGATCAAAGTAATTTTACCAAATCCGAAGCGGGTGTTTACGTACAGTCCTACGCTGTTCTTATTCCATCCTTCGTTATGCAGCAGTGGTGACGGTTCAGATGTCCATACAGCAATATGCTGAACGTCACGCCATGTTAGAGAAGGGCTAAAGGTTAGAAAGTGTTACAAGCCGATGGTATACACGCCAGTGAAGCTAAGGATTATACTGAAAATGTTTAAATATTGCATTACTTGGCTTGTAAACCAAGAGCAATAATGCCAGCGGCCAACGGTGCTGATGCCGACGTCCCCGAGTGATCTGTAGTACAAGCATTTTTAATGTCTGTTGTCACCTGAAACCAGATTTTTATGGCCAGCAATAACATACAATTCTTACTTTTATTATTATCCATAATTATTAGCAGCATACGCTTAATGGAAAAAATAAATAATCTTTGAATTTCGAGTATCATACAATCATTCTTCGGTCATCAAATCCAGTAGAATAAGTTGTTGTCAGCGTTGATGCACACATTTCACCATACCACGGAAACGACCCATCGTGAGCTGCGCTGGATACCTTTAAAGCACAATCACTTTTTAAAAATTTCACAATTTTTTTCTTCAAAGTAATAAGTCTTAACTGTTTGTTGGAGATGCATCTTAAAGTATCTGTCGGAATTAGCCGCAATAAACCATCTAAAAATGAAAAGCCAACCGAAAATGTGTATATGCTATCCGTGTAACCGTCACAGTCGCAGTCATCACCTTTATGTCCACCATTACCGGATGCCCATACATAGATGGAACCTTTTCCCTGGCGGCCCTGCAAAAGTCAATCAGGGTAATATACGATTTAAATATGTTTTTATCTTCGTTAGTTGCATTGAGGACCATAGTTGTGGCTACGAATCCAGTCATCTAACCTCTTTAATACCTCGTTGAAGCGCTGCCTGAGCTAGTCGTCCAGGACCTTCTACGGTTTTACCGTCATCGTTAGGACCCCAACTGGCTGAATAAACGTCTACGTGGTCGATACCATGATTAAGAGCTTCAGATTCCACACGGTCAGTGATTTTTCCATCCAACATACGAACTCCTTTAACGATCAACCTTACTTGATGTTTTCAAATTTTGAAAAACATCTTTATGACCACTGATCGGAAAAGAATGTTGGTGAATCGGAAAATTGTTGTTTTCGCTTATGTTTTAAACCATTTACCAGAAATTCCGGCATGATAGGCAACTCCGACACCACATATTGAATTATTGGCAGCCATAGCGACTTCTCCGGCACACCGAGTCCCATGCCTAAATTATGACCGTTTGGTTTTATTTTGAAAGTTCAAGCCACGATTTGGTCAATTTGAAGTATAGTTTGCTAAATCTTACCGATTATGGTTATCAAAGGTTGGCATTGGGTCTGGGTCGTCATCGTTCAAGTCATATGAACCTTTAGCGTCCTAAACTTGCCAATCAAAGTTAATTATGCTACTAATAAGAAAATTTTTTACACGTTTTATAAAAACGTCAAGCGAAAATGACTGGCACTGCGCAAGTAGAGTGGCAAGATTATTATATCTGATTAAACAACTACATTTTAAAACTTAGTCTTGAAAAAGAGCGCTCTAAGTAAATATTTTATATTTAATATTTACAATAACCAACGAAAAAAAATAGAAATATATATGAAAAAACTTAATATATTACATATATACGTACATAATTATCCACCAAATCAGTATGGTTGTGCTGAATACCGTCATCCTTAAAAAAAAAAACACTATATTTTTAACAGCTCTTGCCTTACAAAAGCGGTGACTTCAATCTTAAAATCCTTTGAAAATTTATTTATTAATATAAAAGATACTTTTTCAGTTACTATAAACTGAATTTTATCCAGTATTATTCCAGGATGCTTTGAATTATCACCCAAAAAAAAGAGACCACATACCAGAATACTGACTACAACTCCTTTGCCAGTGTAGCCCAGTTTCCATGCACCGATAACATTCATATCAGTTCGTTGGCCAAACCGTGAGTCATGCTAAGCAGCAAAAAAACATGAGTTACAGAAGACAAATGTAATTTTATCAAGTAATTTCTGCTCAACTTTTATTAAAACTGAATTCTACGATTTTTTACAACACAGAAAAGACGAAACAGAAGAATGCTATTTGACTGATGAGTGTGGAGAAACATATAGTGAAACTCAGTATGGTAAAACAGCAGCAGTGACCGGTTTTGCTAAAAAATCCTGTAAAACATTGGTTTGAAATGACCACTAACCAAATTTTCTATGTCTGTCTTACAGCATTTCGAGATTAGCCACAAACCTTCGTTTCTTTGCAATTATTTTAAATGGCTGGCAACTAACATAGAATGTACTCTTTAATTTTATTTTAAAGTACCACTATGAAATCCTGCGAACCTTTCTGATCAGTCAATATTTACCACGTCTAACAGCTCAATTTACATTCAATTTGTAAGGTGCAACTAAACCTTAATTGCCATTTAAAGCTTTTATTAGAGCTTAGACCAAAAAGAACACTTTTTTTTTCAAAAGTGAAAGCTGTGCAAAATAATGAAGCAGTTGTTTAGACGTGATCCAAAAACTTTTGGGAGAAACAAATTTCTGACAACAGTGGCAATTGACGAAAAGGACTAGTAGATGAAAATTACCAGTTGCCACTGTAATGGCCACAATGGATCATCAAACTTCATTTCATCGTCATCTATAAAATCACGTTTATACCTATTTTTGATCCTTTGTTGCTCTGCCCACATTACCTTAAGTAAAGAAGAAACACGTCTAAATTCTGCAACCGTAATTTAGTACATTCATTACAGTGACCAGATATTATTGTTAAAAAAATAAGTTTACCTTCAAATGTATAATTCAGTTAACAAACATGTGATATATTTTGTATATTGGCTTAGCATTTAAAATTCTTAAACCATAAAAAATTTCTCAGCAAGTTAACATTTAAGTTTTGACCCTCTGTTGCAGAAAAGTATAATAAGTTAAAAGCTTCCATCTGCCAAAAATTTAGTTAATTATTTGGTCACTGATTAAAGCTGATAACAGAAAAAGGAAATACGCATTTTTTAGTAAAATACTTTGAGAAAAAAAATAAATTTACGTGTCCGCTCTTCTGAACTTACATTTGGTTTTTCAATCAATGACTTAGTTAAATATTTAGCTTCTCGTTTTCGTCGAGATAAGTTACGCTTATTAAAGACATAAAAATTTTCAAGATTACGAAGCTGCAAAAAATTCATTTGTCAAGAATAATTCAAACTGTCGTCTTCTACAACAGCAAAATGTCTGACCAAAAAATAGTTGATTTTTCTGAATAACGCCAAAAAAATAAAAGCAAATTTTAGATAAAATAAAAGAAATGAAAATAACCGAATAAGAAGTAAAAAATTCTAACTTTTCCAGCAAATTTATATCCTTCAGATTCGGCTGTTTCTTTTGCCACTTCTTCGCCACCGAGAATTTCCACAACCCATTCATTAGCATATTCATACAGTTCCTAAACTTTTGCTTTTCTCTTTGATACAGAAAGTAATACAGTCAATATAAATAAAAAAACAATTTCAAATTCAACCAGTTCAACTTTCTAACTTCATTAGTTCTTTACTTATAAGGTTACTGTAACCAGTGCTTTCTTTCTATTAATTCATTCAAGTTGCATAACTGGACTGCAATCCAGAGAAATGATAAAGAGAACTTTTAAAATTCAACAAATTCGGATGCATTTAAACATACCAATTAAAAACTGATTTGTAATCTTTTATTTTGAAATTTAAGGAAGAAAAAATAACAGCACAAAAGAGCAGAAAACTAACCTCATTATTTATTACTGACGGTAAACGTTTTTCTTGGATTTCTAGCAAATTACGTAGCAATAATTTTGCCAATTCAACATCGGTTTCTATATTCGATGTTGTTGTATTTTGTAGTTCAACTGCACAGATTGTTTGAGTAATTAGTGCAAACAATAATAATAATAAAAATGTTAGATCAATCAACAGTTGTCGACTGTTCATCATTTCTGCTGTCTTTTCGTGTTTTTTTTCTTTTTTTTTCTTTTTGCTTTTGTTTGTTTTTGAAATTTAACAAAGTAGACAACAACAAGAGAAAAAGTAAGTTTGCAGTTAACAGTAATGCAATAAATGTCTGCCAACCAAACAGGTACAAAAAAAAGACAAAAAAAAAGAATTGGTTTATTCTATGAGAAATATGAATCGTTTAGAACCGTAACACAACACTACTGCCAATATATAACGGGGGATGATTCAGTAGGGTTTCGTTAAACGGTTAATTTCTGTACTGAAATTAGGTGAAAAAAATTGAAAATACTTGCATAACTAAATCATTTTTTACACTTTCAAATATGTCAAATTATTTGCCTTATTCAATAATAACAATAGTAATAATAGTAATAGTAATAGTGATAATAACAACAATGATAATAATAATAACAATATTAATAATATTAACAATTATAATAATGTCGAATAAATAATAAAAAACAAAAGAAAAATGATGCTAAGAAACAGCAATAATTACCGACTGAACAGTCGGTGATATGCATATTTAAAAAATGCGTTTTCCTTGACTCAATCAAAGATCATAATAAATTGTTTCCTCCTTCTTCCCGTCTCCGTCTATTCATATCAATTTAATAATCATATCTCCTTCCAAATTGTTTTTTTCCTCCTCGTAGATAACTTTTTAACGTTATTTATTATAAGTGACAACATCGCTTTTTCAGCTATCCATCTTAGGTAGTTCTATAGAAAAAAAAAGCCACTTGTTACGTCTCAAAAATGGTACTGAAGAAGTTTTTTGCTATAAGAAACAATGATTTAAGACTATTTTTTTAGCAAATAATCAAAAAAAAAAGATTTTTTATTTCGCAAAAAATAAGCATATATCGGAAGAAAAAAACTGACTAAAATTTAACATTTATAGAACTTCCTATTTGAAAGTACCAAAAAAAAAAAACAAATAGATCCAAAAGTACTTAATTGCAATAAATCAATTGTAGAGAAAAACAAAGTTCAAAAAAAAAATTTAGCACTTGAGTCAAAGTTATCAGATGTTAAAGAAGAAACGTTAGAAGAAAAAAAAAATCAGTAATCCTATTTACACACATATTCCAAAAACATTTACTCATATTCACTATGCTGCTGTTTTTCGTTTTGCTGATCAAATAGTGGTAAGCATTAACGATAAAGAAGTTGATAAATTATTGTAGTCAAAATATTGTTTAAAAAAAAGATAACATAAAAAGCTAAAAACAACAACAACAACAACAAAATCCTCTTTTTTTGGATTTAGGAAAAAACTATAGCGTTTTTAGTTCCTCATTTCATTAAGGCAGAACAAATGATGTCAAACAAACTATGGGGTTATGATTCCAATACTTCTGCTAATGATATCAACTGAACTGTTGCTCATTTCCAGCCCCCTTATTCTTCCGTTTAAACTGGAGACAGAAACTAATGCTGGCTCAAATTTAACTGCACTAAGCACAAAATTCAATTGAGCAAAAGACCGTAGCTTTTTCTTTCAGCTTTATTTCTACTGATCTTAACTCAAAAATCTATCAGTAAATCTTACTTATCACAAATGGTTATTCTTAGTTTTCTAAGCATCTTTCTCCAATTTCTCCTAAATGCACTCACTCAGCGAATGCTGCGAAAGACATGCCAAGTCTCTGATAAACTTCCAAAAACAAAAGCAAATTTTTTAAAAGTTACTTTTTTATTTGCCAAAAACATAATACCACTTTTATTACAACATTGTCGACAGGTCAACACTGAAAACAGTGCCAAAAAAGGTTGGTCAAAGATGCCTGTTAACAGAATATTAGACAGTTACAAATGCCAACAGCGCTTGACCAATTTTCGATTTTTCCTGTACCAGTTCTATTACTCCATTATGCATAGTAGACTAAATGGTGGTCTACTGATGTATTTGTCACCAGTTTCATCAAACAGCTAAAAATAGACTTTCCTAGTGGTTTTTTTCTGGTGTCATACTTGTTATCATATCTGCTGAACCTTTTTATACTATAAGAATTCTAGAAATACAAGGAAAACCTGACGAGCATATTAAATGACAAGATGCTTCTAAAATTTTTGCACTCTATTCTGTCAGTTACGTCAAGTACTACCTATTCATTCGATGCAATAAACTGTTGGTACAGATATTAGAAGAAGCAAATTTTTTTTGCAATTCGATTTTTCCTTTTAAAAATTTGGTCTTTTCTTTTGCAGAATATTCAAAATAAATATAAATACATATTCATTTAACACGTTACTATTACTGTCATTACCATTTATAAATTACAGTTGTCAGTGGCTATTTCTACATTGTCATATGTCTGTATCAAAATACCTGTCTAATGACAATAGTATAGATACAAAAAGCAACATACACAAATACTTGACGTTTTTCTATAAATACTGTCGGTTTAAAAGAGATTATGACATAAATATCACCATTTCGTATAAAAAAGCAGAAAAGAAAGGTTACCGTAAAACAAAAATTGAAAGCAGTTGAAAATTGACAAAGGTATAAACGACTGAAAGATGACAAATAGATGCTGTTTGTTACTGAAAAAAATTTTTTGCTAAATTTATGTTTTGAATAGAAAGAGAAAAATTTTCTTATTAATATCATACAAAAACTTCTAAAACAAGAAAAAGCAAAAAAAAAAAAAAAAAAAAAAAAAAAAAA